AATGCATCGAACGTGTCGACAGGTTCTGAGCCTGTTAGCTGAAGTCATTCTGGTGGATCTAAATGCAGATGTCACTTTGATCCTCTGAAGCTCCTGCCATCTGTGCCCCAACAGTGAACCCTCTTTCAAAGATCTGTTGATACAAAATCTGAATATACACATTTTTATACACGTCACAGAGCATGACTGGATGTTTTTGCTCGTTTGCCACTTATTTATCCAAGTTTTTCCTCTAACATGTCACCTGTCTGTAACACAAGAGGTCAATCAGAAAGTATGTTTTCTTGTTTCTGGGGGTGTTTCCCCCCTAATTTAGACGAACTCCATTGTTTAAGGCTGTTCTGAGTAGTTTTACTGGATGCGGTTCGTTCATTAGCTCAAACACGCTGATGTGCATTCTAAATATTTCTGCGATCTTTGCAGACAAACCGCTAAACGGAGGGAAACGCAGCGCTGCACGTGTAGAAGAACACCGCGGGCGGGATGGATGGATGGATGTTTTTATGTAATGGAACAAAGCTCACACTTTCCTAACGCTGTTATTCTGCTTGGCTGGACGGCGACCCGGGACGGAGGCGAGTCCAGAGGAGCTTCACTTCCGATACATCCCTCCCACACAGCCATTCACAAATGTGCTCGCCCAGGAAACAAATGGAGCACAAGTCACATATTGTGTTCTTCATCGCTCAGAAGGATTCGTGTGTTTATTTATCGGCTCAAACTGCAGAAATTATGATGTGATTGGGTTCAGTCAGTAGAAATCCTCCTCAGAGCTGATGTAGGGACGTAATAGTGAATATTTAACCAACTCCTCGTGCAGCAGGTGGATAACAATGGAGTAATGTGGCGTAAATGTATTGTATGTATGTAGCAGGTTTTGTGTTTAATCCTGACGTACTGCTCTGATTTTATGCCTTCACAGTTTGGTTTGGGTCCTATAGTTTCTTTTTGAACATCTGTTCTGATGAACATCCCATAAATGTCAAAATAAATAGATGTATACATGACAAGAAATGTATAATTTGCTCTTTATATCTCATAAAAAGCTTCTTGTAATTGCCAAATATGTTCCAGCATTTCATAATCTGGACTTCTAATTTTGCTAGATGAACTCCATCAGCACCTTTTCTGGGCACCAACATGGTGGTCTGGACAGGGAACCTTTCAGCGATGAGGGATTTTTATCTATAACAAGATCCCAGTTTGTCCAAATCTACAAAATAGTTTCAAAAACTTTGCATTCAGTGGGTAACAAGTCAGGAAATATCTACACATACAGATTCACCATTTTTTCAGTATTAGTAACACCTGTAATTAAAAATGTTGGATATTCTGGCTTTCTTCAGTTTTTCCAAAATAAATAATTCTAATAAAAACAAGGAAGATATTCATATTCAAGCTTAAAGCCACAGCATGTCTTTAAAAACACTTTATCCCACATGGTTCATTTAGAAAATTGCCAAAAAAGTAGTGTGCAGTAACTAGATGCTGTAAAAAAACAAAAACAAAAAAATTCTGTGCCCCTTGATGCAACCATGAAGCCATCGGTGACTCAGCTGTGAGCAACAGTCAGCAGACAAAAATTCAGGGACTTTTCAGATGAACTGCAGGCAGTGTTTACTCAGAGTATAGAAACTAATTTAAAGCGCAAGTTGTAAATATTAAATATTATAATATTCTGTTTTGGAAAAATGTTGTACATGTCGATTCCAGATTTTTTTCAATTTTTCTAAAAATAAAAAATCAAATACAGTCAACTTATGTTTTTGTTTTTATATGATTTAAGGCATTAATAATGATCTTATATTCAACAGAAGACATTTCTGAGTTCTCTCTCCTTCTTCTGTTTCCATACAGGTGCAGGACTTTACATCGCAGTGAAAAATGAGCCCACAGTGATCCAATCTGTGACGGGAGCGGTCTTGGAGTCGAGAGGGTTAATTGATTAATTGATCTTTTGTGTCAGAAACAGCCTCACACACACACGTACAGGTGTGTAATAGATTACAGTGATTAATGGACTAAACCTGCCTTTCTTCTGATGGAGTTAAATAATTCAGCCCCCTGAAAATTTCACTTTCAAATGGACCCGGTATCATCTCGTGACATTAAATTCCATATTAAAACATGAATAATTTAGAAAGGCCATCGTGACTGATGTTATTTTGAGTCCTCTGCTTTATTTGTTTTATTTATAGACGGTCTCATCTCTTTATTTCCACGTAGCGGCCTGCCTGCTGCTGCAGTAATATTAATGGCTTTACCAGCAGGGATACTATCTTTATCCCCTGTTCTGACCGGCCCGGCGTCGTGCGGCGCCAGCGTGAGTCCGGGCCCAGCTGGGACGGGCGGATGCTGAACAGATTGGGGACCAGCAGGCCAAAGGGTGGAGGGCCCCACCGTCAGGTAAGATAAGCAGAAGGAGGCCCGTCTCCGCTCGGGTTGGAGGGAGGCCCAGAGAACGTTTGGATGGAACCGGCCCGGGCCTTAAAATAGCACCAACATGTTGGGTTGGAAGCAGCACCGGTCCAACCTGCAGCACGCTAATGGCTGTAATGTGGTTTGAGGTACTTGAGTTTTTCCATTTCGTGCTACTTTAGACTTCCACCGTTGGACATTTCAGGGGAAATATTGGACTTTTTACTGCCGGACGTTTATCTGACAGCTTTAGTTACTGCTGAGATTAAAAACTGGACACAACGGATCACATAACGAGCTTTTAAAATACCGTTAAAGACAAGAACACTGGGTGGACGTCTGGATGTTTTTTTCATGCTAAACTTCTCCCTAATTTCAATAATTATTCCAATTATCCAACGTAGACTAAATTAGAAAACAGATTTGTCTTTTTTCTTCTTTTCTCTCGTGTCCCTGAATATAAAACTGGACATAAAGTAGTTGAAACCTGCAGCAGCTCCAACAGTAACCTGCTGCTGAAACACTGATGCTTCACCGTTAATAATCTAACAATAAGTCAGTCAGAGGACTTTTCTGCAGTACTTTAGCTCTACTTAGGTGCTAATACTTGCATGATTGCGTGAAGGATTTTGATGCGTTGGTTGTTGAGCTGTGATACGTTTACACTCGACTTATTGGACCAAAGCGCAGAAACATCGACAAACTCTTTGACATGATAGTTTGGACTCGACTCAGCTACAGAAGTTCAACCTCTTTATGTTGGACCAGTTCAGAAGAGGTGTTTGTTTGTTTGTTCGTCCCGCCACCAGAAATGATGGACTAATCCAGGAAGACCATCGATGTCATTAAAATAACACCAGAGATCGACCAACCAGTTGACGTGGACACTAAAGATCTAAAGGTTTTGTTGCTGTTGGAATCGATTTTGACAATTGTGACAACACATTTACTCCATTAGCAAACCAGCTAATGCTACAATGCTATCTGATCGATGTCGGCTTTTGTGATAAATTCATTTTATACTACGCCTGTTTTCCAAAATTCTTCAGTGAAAATAACTTTATTTCTTTGTTTGTGTTGTGATGTGTCGCTCTGCTTTTATTAAACATAAAAATACAAATTATTATTTTTAATTTTAAGATTTTTGCACCATAATTCATCAATCTGTCGGGCCTGTTGACATTTCGACAAGAAAAGAAAAGATTCTGTTTAAAATACGTTGTAACGCTATAAAATACTTCTAATTGTTATAAAATATGTCTTAACGATATAAAATACGTTCTAACATTATACAATACGTCTTAACACTATAAAATATGCCTTAACGTTTTAAAATACATCAAAACGTTATAAAATATGCCCTAAAAGTTAGAAACTATGTCTTAACGTTAGAAAATTCGACTTAACGTTATGAAATACATATTAACGACATAAAATAATTCTTAATCTTTAACGTTATAAAATATAAAATACATCTTTAAGTTATAAAATATTTCCTAATGCTACAAAAAAACGTCTTAACGATATAAACTAGCGTCAGAAATCTGTTGAAATGCGACCAATTTTAATCTGTTTTATTTATCTGTTCCATTCGTATTTTTAAACTTGTCTTTATGGTTTGACCTCGATTTTCTTTACTCCACTTGTTAGTTTCCTCACTTTTGGTTCTTTCATGATTTTATCTGTCGTTCAGTGGTCTTCCTGATTATCCTTCTTTTCTTATTTGCTCTGTCTGTACAGCACTTTGAGAACTCTGTTTTTAGAAGGTGCTACATAAATAAAGTTACAATTATTAGTTTATGGTGTGTCGAGACTGATTTTGGACACAGATCTGGTCTTTTTCTCACCTTCCCGGACACGTTGCGTGGGATTGGCAGCACTAAAACATGCTCACTCTAATGGCTGCAGTGCGACAACATGGAACACAGGACGACACAGACGCTGTGACTGATGTGCTTCTACACTGGACCGAGCTGATGCGCTTCGACCTGGAACCACGACGCCACAGTGCCAAGCCATTCCTCCTGCACACTTCGGCTTCACCCAAGTGTGACCAAGGAAGCGACAGAAGCAGACGAACACACGGAAGCAGGACATCATCTCCGGCAATGAGGTGAGGGTGGGAGGAAGTGGGAGGAAGTGGGGGGACAGCGGGTTTTGGTTTCTCACATTGTTGGAGCGCAGAGACACTCGTCCTCCACAGCGAGCGCAGAATTTGGTCTGGCAGTAGGAGCAGAGGTGGCCGCAGCCGTCGGCGAACTTGGTCTTGCGGCAGATTCCGCACGTCGGCGCGTCGTCCTTCTGCTGCGTCTGCTGGCGTCGCGTCTCGGCGCCGATGCGACGCACTTCCTGTTTGTAGCTCTCGAACTGCTGGTGCAGCGTTCTGACGGGAAGAGGAGGCAAAAGACGGAGGTTAGCGTCACATCGAGAACTTGACAAACATGAAAACTGGCCAAAAACATACAAGCAGGAACGTCTGAATAAGTGAATGATGTTTTACAATAAATGCACACATTTCAATAAATCTAGCACCACTCGAACGGTCCCTTTCAAAATAAAAAAAATCATAGACGCAATTCAGTGAAACTTCAGCTGAGTTTCGCCTCCTCCTGCTTTCCTGCGATGGAAATAACTCAAGTGTGAATCGCAAATCAGGCCAAGTGAAAACACCCACAACGTTTGTCTCGACAGGAAAGTCAGAGGAGGGCTGCATTAGCATTAGCATTAGCATTAGCACGGCGGGTACACAGGAACTTTAATTAGAGGTCGATTCATTTACAGGTTTGCAGCCAGTTGGGGTGTTTGAGGTTTGGTTAAAGACTCAGGAAGTGTACAAACTTTATGCTAACAGTGACATTTAGCATTCACACTTCTGCCAAAGTTACACCGTTTATCAGAGCCAGACGCTGTAAAAGCAGAGCTTTCCAGTGACTACTCATGTGTTGTTCTACCGGAGAACTTAACAAAACCAAGCATGAAATCATGACACTGCGTAAAACCAAAAACAACTGGTCAGATTTTCAAAGTTTCAACAACTTTCAAGAAAAAAACCCCAAATCTAACCTTAAAATGATGACATTACACAATTTATCAGAGCCAGAAAATGTAGTAACAGAACTTTCCAGTGGCCTTTAACCACTAGAAAACAAATCCAAGCTTAAAATTATGACATTTCATCAAAAAAACTTCATCACTTCTATCTTGTGTTTAAAAAAAATAAAAATAAACCATTTACTTCAACCACCAACTATTTCGAATAATCAATAGGAGTATTTTTTAAAGAAGAAAAGCCTAAATTCTCTCATTGCAGCTTCTTAAATGTAAATATTTTCTGGTTTCTTTCGTCCGATATGAAGCAAACTGTAAACCTTTAGGACCTCATCAAGGTGCCCAAGCTGAAGACACCATGCTGGGTTTTGGGAAACACTGACCGATTTTTTTCACCTTTTTTTGTTAACATTTTATAGAACAAAGAACTCACTGATTTTAAAAAAGCGTTGGTAGTGCTAGACGATGAGCTGCTAGATCGCCATGGTAACCGATGAGAGTTTGGGATTTAGACCTGGTACAAAAAAGGCACCAACTCTTCCCACCGCATTAAGGTTTTTTTTTTGTCCGCAAACCTGTTCAGCTTTGTGTTAATAATCCCACCGGACGAAGTCGTGCAGGTACAGCAAACAAACTATATGTTGCCACGGGAACCTACACTAATTCAGCTGGTGATGTTCTTTAATTATTGGTCCCAATTTGCTGCTAACTTCCGATTTCCTGATTAATGTATTGGTATTTACCAATCAGTAACATTAATTTCACTTTGATTTGGCCAAAAACGGAAGTGATTTCCAAGTTTCTTTCATTAAGAGACAGACCTAAATCCACTGTTTGATGTTTAAATACATGGTGTTTAAAGTTTAAAACCTCTAATACGCAGGTTTTATTCCAGATATAATGACTCCAACAGTTATACAAGCGTTCTTCTCTTGTATTACCTGCAACAACAGCACTTTTTACCATAATGAACTGCTCTTAGCGCTCTATTAAAACAACCTGCGTCTCTCGACTTAAGTAGGAGGCACGTAGACGATCTATGTTGTGCAGAGAAAGAGTTAAACGATGCAACACGAAGCGCCTGAAAAAGAAAACCTGGTTATAAAAAAAGTTGAAAACCAACATTGTCTCTGACTCAGGTTTGAGGTTTTGTTAAGCCGGCTAACGCAAAGAAAGCCCGACTTTGTTGAACTGGCTTCATTCCATCTTCTCGACTCAAAGAGCAGCACCTGATGTGTAAAATTTATCTTTTTACTCTAATTTCATTTGCAGTGGCCAGCTACGTTGGTGTGTCATGTTTTTAGCTGTAGTCTCTTCTGTTGCTAAGCTAACGTTAGCTAACCACACGACACTGCCAAATAAATGATTAAATCCTCACATTCTCTTTTGCCATCCAGTTTCTTGGTTTATTCCTTCATATAATATGATGAATCCACCTGAAATGAAGAATCTGACAAGATGCTGTGTTCATGGGAGAGAAAAAAACTACAATCTTCTGCATGTTTTCTACAAACTACAAATCCCAGCAGCAGTAGCAGCAGTCAGACACTCCGCTGTTACCTGGATCTACTGAAAGCAGACACGTCCTCCTGCATGTCAGCCGCCGAGCAAACGGGTCCAAAACATAACAGCTGATCTGCAGCCAGAACATTCCTCCGGTAGCAATAATCAAACAGGTAGGGGTCGTCCGCCATGACCTGCCCACGTCCAGGAACAAAAAACTCAAGCCTCCCCTAAAAGTGTAAAAGGTGCAACGGAGCGTCTTCAGCGCAGCTTTTCCTTCAGTGTGCAGCAGCAAAGTGACACCATGAACGGTTTGAACAGGGAGGAGGCTGACGGAGCCGCGACACTCGGCCAATCGGGTGGAGGGAAGACGGTGATCCTGTGACGTGAAACACTCGATGACTTTGATTTATTTTTATACTGACGTCAAGGAAACAACCTCTGCGTTCAAAATAAAGAGGTTTTCTTACATTTCAGACTCTTATATTCACTCTCAGGTCTGATTATTGGTCATACTTTATGTTTAAAGGTGTTTCCTGATAAACTCTCTACACCAGAATCTGCTTTTAAATGTTTTTTTCAAAAGTTATTTGCATCAAAAGGCTTTTTTTCAGTTAATTTTCTTTTAATATTGATGTCTACGTTTATTCCAAGCTGTCGAGGTAAACTATATTTTAATCTTTAACCTTTATTTAACTCTAAATTAGCTTACTGTTTTGATTTTTGTCATTTTTGTGTCTCTTTGTAGTAGTTTGTGTCTTTTTGTGGTGGTTTTCTATCTTCTTGTGTGTTTTTTTTGGAGCTTCTGTGGTCATTGTGGTGATTTTTGTATATTTTTTGTCTTTTTTATCATTTTTGTGTCTGTTTCTACAGTTTTTTTGTGGTGGTTTTCTATTTTTTAGTATTTTTTTGTGGAGCTTTTGTGTTTCTTTGTGGTAGTTTTGTATAATTCCATGTTTTTTTGTGACTTTTGTTGGTGGTTTTGTGTCTTTTTGTCATTTTTGTGCCTCTTTGTGGTGGTTTTCTATCTTTTTGTGTGTCTTTTTTTGGAGCTTCCGTGTTTCTTAGTGGTGATTTTTGTAACTTTTGTGTTTTTTTTACTGTTTTTTCATCTTTGGTGGTGTTTTTGTAACTTTTTATTTCTCTTTCTGGTGGGTTTTGTGTCTCTTATTGGTGGATTTTGTATATTTTTATGTGTTTTTTTGGGACTTTTGGTGGTGGTTTTGTTTTTTGTTGTTTTCATTTTTATGTCTCTGTCTGGTGTTTTATTTTTTCTTTTGTGGTGATTTTGTGTCTTGTTGTCTATCATGAAAGTATTGATAAAATTGCAAAAACAGACTTGATTTTTTATTTTTTCCCCCCATTTTAAAATCTGCTTCATCTTCAAATGATGAAGACAATAAACTTATTCAGTCATATAATATATACATTATTTTGAAATATGCTGTTGTGTGGGATCAGTACTTGTACTTTTGGAACTTTAAGCACATTTTGAAGCTCATGCTTTTGTACTTAAAGAAAACCTTGAATGCAGGACTTGTGATGATGTATTTCTACACTGTGGTTTTGTTACTATGATTGAGGTATAATATCTGAGTTCTTCTTGAGCTTGAATGAGGAAAAAAACACTTTGTGCAGGTATAACAGACACTCAGATCCTAAGAATCTAAATCTGAAAACATGCACGCTGTGGCTTTAAATCCGCCTGAGCCACGGTTCTGGACGAACCCGGACTCTGTCTCAGATGGAAAAACGGCAGCGACGTCACCAGCGTGACCCGTGACCCCGAGCAGCTATATATCCTGCCGACGGGAGTCCAGGGGCTGAGCCGGGCCCGGGCGCCATGGGAACAGCTGTCAGAAACAGAGGGTGCACAGCCGGTCGTCATGGTAACGCGGCGGCGTCGAGCGCCGGGTGTCAGCGGGTGTCAGCGCACCAGCTGTTACTGTTCTTAGAGCTGCGGTTTCATCAGCGTTTCGCCGGTAAAGCTGCACGAAACGTTAAAATAAATCGGAGGCCTGAATCGGAGCCGTTTGGTCGTCGGCTCGCCTTCCTGCACGCACACACCAAACACACCGCAGAAGTTTGGTTTTTAAACAGGGTTCAGCTGAACAATTTACTGTTTTACCACTATTCTACAGGTTTTTGGTACTATTTGATGAAAATGTAAACATGAAGGATTGAAAAATGGTAAATCAGTTGATAATTCTGTATTTTTTTGTGTCTCTTTCTATTAGTTTTATATCTTTATTGTGAGTGGGTTTTTTTTTTTGTCTCTTTATGGTTGTTTTGTGCGTCTTTCCAGTGGGTTTGCATCACCTTCTGTCATTTTTGTGTCTCTCTGTGTTGTTGTTGTGGTAATTTTGTGTTTCCTCGTTGTGGTTTTGTATCTTTTGTCATTTTTGTGTTTCTTTGTGGTGGCTTTGTATATTTTTATGGGTTTTTTGTGACTTTTGCTGGTGGTTTTGTGTATTTTTGTCATTTTTGTGTCTCTTTCTGGTTGGTTTTGTGTTTCTTTGTGGTGGTTTTCTGTTTCTTTGCGTTTCTTTGTGGTGGTTTTGTATGTTTTTTTAAATGTTTTTTTGTGACTTTTGGTGGTGGTCTTGGATCTTTTTGTCGCTCTCTGTTGGTTTTGTGTCTCTCTCATCATTTTGTGTCTCTTCCTGGTGGTTTTGTTCCTACTTGTGGTAGTTTTGTATATATTTATGGCTTTTTCAACTCTTTTTCTGGTTGTTTGCCTGTTTCTGTGTGCGTGTTGTTGTGTCTTTACTGACAGCCTACATGTAGTGGTGGAAGGAAACACATATCTGACTCCCAAAACTGAAAACCAAAGATTGAGGCACAACAAACTGTGGGCCAGAAAATCAGAACAACGAGCTGAAAGATGCTACAACGCTCCACAGAGCTGAGTTTGGACTCCTCAGACTCATCATCTGATGTTACGTTTACTGATTAAAGCAGCTTTAGGAGCTCAGAGTTCAGACACCAGACGAGCGCTACAACTGCAGACTTTCACAGTGAATCAACGCTGACGTCGGTGTGGGATGGAAACATGGGAAAGCGGCAGACTGACACACTACATGCAGTTACACACAACTCTGCTGGACGCATGGACACGTGTCAAACACGCATGAAGCATCCAGACGACGTGACGCCACATCAAAACCCAAACTTAATGCTCTTCAAACACAATTTCCCCTGAAACACTTGAGCTAAAGTTCAACTTTAACTAACACGCGAGAGACCAAACGGATCCGAGAAGAGACGTCCTCTCAGGTGAGGACGAGCTCTCTGTGTTCACTCCACCGTGTGTTCATCGATTACATGCCTGAGCCTGAAGCCTCTCCGGGGGTCGGCCATCATGACGGCGCATGCAGGTGGTGAAGTGAAGCATCAGAAAATACTGCACCTCTCTACTCGTGTAGAGAAGAGAGCTATGAACAGATTTGTGATGTTTGTTTTCGTCGTAAATTAACCAATTTTTACGAAACCTTTGAGCCAGCTTTAATCCCACCTAGATGTGCAGGATGTTTAACTACAGCGACACACGCAGGCAATTTACAAACACACTAATGCACAGCAGATCTTTTGCTGAGCAGCTTTAATGAATCCTCACAGAAGAAGTGTTGGTTTCATGTCATTTTTGAGTTTACCACATCTGTAAATAAGAACTGTAATTATTGCTGCGTCCCATTTATGTTACTAGGCTGCTATGAAGAAGAAGAAGGCATCTTTAGACATATCTATAGGTGGGTTTAGAAAGCATGTTAACTTTATTAAAATTACCCGAATCATGTTATTTAGTAGAACAAGAACCGGAAAAACTGAAAGAACTGGTAATGTTTCCTTGGAAAACAACCAAATCTAAGTTTTAAATCGGAATATTTTTTTTATCACAAGCACATTAAAAAAATAACCTCAAATTAAATCGTCTGCACTAAACAGATTCTGTAAGAAAATAAATAAATAAACAAACAAATAAATAAATAAATAAAATAAAAATTTTAAAAAATTAAAAAAAATTCTGCGCTCCTCAACGTAACTGTGAAGCCGTCAGTGACTCAGCTGTGACCAACAGCGACGCCACAAAAATTCCAGGAGTTTTTCGGTTGAACTGCAGGCTGTTCACACAGAGCCCAGAGGAGACAAATAAGAAGTGCAAATAGTTAAATATCTATCGTGTGCAGATGTTTTTTCAGTCTTGGCATCACCTGTGAGCACTTGCTGCCTGCAAATGTTGCTTCCAGGTGTTTTCAATTAAAAATTCAACTCAACTTCCATTTTTCTTTTTCTATTTTTAGGATTTGTGGCATAACGACTGTTATTCTGCACAGAAGACAGTTCTGAGTTCTCTCTCCTCCGTCGTGGTTGTTCTGTTTCCATAGAGATGCAGGACTTTATGTTGCAGAGTAAAAAATGAGCCCACAGTGAGTAAAAAAAATGTGGCAGGAGCAAAAACAAAATGCTCAGAAAGTGCTCAGGGTCCAGTGGGTTAAACATGTACAGAAAGGAATTTTATAAAACCATTTTCTGACACCATGATTTCCATTTTTACTAAATATCGGTTCCAAACATCCGTTATCTGTCTCAGTGATCACTAATAATCCACATCGGCAATGAAAACACCATATCGGTCCATTCCTCGGGGGCATGTCTGAGGTTTAATATGGTTTTGCTGCTGACTACGTCTCAACAAACTGCTTGGAGTTCAGAGAGTTAAGCTGAGAAGCACCAAAATGAGCGTTACAACATTGTACTCTGACCTAATTAGTGAGTTTGGAGGTATAATCCATCACGCTGCTCCACACAGACAATAAGAAGCTCTGTGTGTTACTAACTATAACGCGGTTAGCATGTGGCCGTGGAGGGCGGCGGCCGGAGGGGATGTCCGAGTGTCTGCTCTGTGGAGCTCAGCAGCAGCAGCCAGATGTGGGCTATTCCAGCTTTGGCCTTGTCAAAACAACAAGCGTGTGCAAATGAGCACGCATGCAAACACAAACAATGACACGGACAGAAAGAAGCGCGTGCACACGTGTGGGTTTGCCTTCGCCTCGAGCCAAGGACTCCCTCTTCCTCCTCCTCCTCCTCCTCCCTCCACCAGTCGCCGGTGTTGAGTTGTTAATTAGCGCCGCTATGAATACGCCGCTCGGGGAGGAGGAGGCTCCGCGCGAGTGGAGGGCAGCACTATTTCTGTCTCGTCAGCTGATTCGCGGCGACGCCTCGATGAAAACTTGTTCTTAGCCGGAGGAGGCTCAAGGAGTCAAGAGGCGTCACTGAGGTGGAGGCAGCTTCTACCTGTGGAGGTTCAACAGTGTGGACGAGATGTCCAGGAGGCTCAGGAAGGTCTGAATGGAGGAGAGCGACAGAGGACGAAGGGGCTCCGTTGATACTAGATACGATCAGCTGTGTGCGATCCAGGGAGGAGCACGCTCGGATGAACTTTTGTTGTGTTTTTTTTTGTCATGGCAGTTTGTGTTTGATGCATTGAAAAGAAATGTTTTAATCAAACAGTTTTTATCGCCGTCATCCAGGCCAAATGAAGGACAACACGATGCTACAGAGCTAACTTAGCTAATGAAATACCTATTGTCTGTTGGCTTTTACACTAGCCAACTAGTTAGCATGCTAAAAAATTCAGTCAGCATTAGCACAGACAAACACACTGTTTAATCCATTTCTTACACCTTATTTCCACATAGCTGAGTCAGCGCAACTCCATTTGTTCCCATGACAACCAAAAGAAAATGTTCTTCCCATTTTTACATGATGTAGCTTAGATGCTATTAGCTTAGCGACTATGCCAAATGAGAGATTCAACTGAAGTGGACGAGACAAAGTCAAAAGTAGCCAAAGACATGCTTATTTACATTTGGCTATGTAGCTCACCAGTTAGCATGCTAACAATTCAGTATCAGTTAGCATTAGCACAGATAAACACCCTGTGCAGTTTCTCATGTCTGGTTTTCACATGACTCAGCTAAACTCTAGTTATGCTCTTGTTGTGAAACTCCATTTTTTTTTTCGTTTTTACATATTGTTCTTGTTCTACTGCTCAACCCAAATGAGGCTAGCTAATAACATGCCTATTGTCTTTTAGGATGGGTAACTAGCATGCTAACAACTTGAGTTAGCATTAGCATCGGATAAACAGTGTTTAGTCGGATTCTTATGTCTCATTTCTACAAAGTTTAGTCACAGAACTCAACACAACTTTAGGTTCTGACCTAAAAGAGAAGTCCAGTAGCTTTTACTGAGGCTCCTAGTGTTATCCTGACCTAAATAGCTGAAGACTTACATGCTCGCTTGACAATATCTGTATATATTTTCACATTTGGATCTAGCATATACTGCGAATATTACAATTACAATTTCATTTTGCAGACGCTTTTATCCAAAGCGACATTTCTGAGAGTAGATCACATTCATGCACCAATGGCGACAGAGCTGCCTGCCATTAGGAGCAACTTTTTGGGTTCAGTGTCTTGCCCAAGGACACTTCGACTGTGGAGGGGCCGGGGATCGAACCGCCAACCTTGCAATTAGCGGACAACCCGCTCTACCACCTGAGCCCCAGCCGCCATATATGCCATCCATCTAACTCTCTCAGCTCATCCATTTGAATATTAACTGATATCAGACCAACAGATGATGGATAATAGACCTGGATCCCTTCATCCATGATACAGATGTCTGCACATAACTCTTTATCCATCATCTATCATGGATGAAGATAGATGAAGAAATATCCATATATATCCATCGTCTTTTTACAGATCTCTTTGCATCCATGATAGATAATAGACATCTGGCTGAGGGATGGATCTACAAACACCCTCCATCCACTGTATACGGGTAGAATTGCTTAAAACGGACTTAAATGCTCTAAAACTGACTTTTATTGCTAATTTTACAACTGAGCATCCATCCGTTTCCCCAAATCCGTTGAAGTTTAGCAAAATCGGTCAATCCTGGGAACAAACTTTGAGTTCTGAAACAGAAATCTGTGTATTGTTGTACAGAAACATGAATAATCTGACACAACGCACACAATAATTCAAGCTCTCCACAAGCTAGCGACCGGGGAAGATAACAGACATGTTGACACATGCTGCAGAGGTAAAAAAAAGAAAAAGAAGAGAGGATTCGGGGAAACAGAGAGGTAACAAAACAGAAACAGGAAGGCAGGAAGAAGAGGAGATGAGCCTGTAACACAGAGAATCCCAGAAGTCCTCCCATCTCAGAAAGAGATGGATCGACAAACTGCCGTCTACAGGGAGGAGGAGGGCGAGGAGGAGGAGGAGGAGGAAGGAGAACAAGTGAAAAAGCAAAAAGGATGAACAAAAAGAGCCAAGACGGAAACAAGCGTGGGCCAGAGACCAGCGGAGGAGAGGAGCCGATGCATCCGGAGCCGCTCTATAAATACCACTCGAGAAGAGGATGATGGAAGGAGGATGGAGACAGGGTGATGGAAAGAGGAAGGAGTGTTAGAAAGAACGCTTTACTGGAAATGAAGAATAAATCCTTTAAAAAAAAAAAAAAAAAAATCAGTGTGAAAGTGCTGAAAAGAAGCGAGAAGAGCAACAGATGGGCGCTCGAGCAAATGCAAACATCTTCTTTGTTTTCTTGTTTGCCTCCACGACGACTTTTACATATTTGGCTCCCTCCACTGTCAAAAGGCTATAAAGTGGCGCTAGTGTCACAATGCTAGCAGAAATAAAACACCCAGATGGCCACTGTGTGTCTATCTATAGGGCGGCAATTTCTCAAACAATCTGGTCAATCCTCGCTGGCTTGATGGGGTTTGATTCCCAGCTGTCATTCTCTCCAGCATCCAGCGCTGCAGCCTCACGCTGCCTTAGTCACATAAACCTGCTGCTTTAGCACACAGCTTCAGGGCAGCCGGGCCTCACAAAACAAAATCTGGCTTCGATGTCATTTATTTTTAAGAAGACTTCAGGGTGTAGCGGCTTCAGGAGTCTGCATGCCGATCCCCAAATGTATATCCCCGAAACAATAAACACAAAATATAGAAAGATAAATATTTCAATAATGTTTCCTCCGTTCTTTTCCACCTACGCCTCTGCTTGGAGAGTTGGTAAGTCAGTGGAGGTGCAGAATGATGATATAGTGCCTATAAAAACTATTCACCGCACTCAGAAGTTTTCCCCTTTTATTGCTTTTCAACACTGAATCGTTGAAAGATTCTTTCACGTCAAAGTGAAAACAGTTGTACGCACAGTCTCACCAATGTTTGGTATGTTAATGAGGCAGCTAGCTAGCTATCGTTTGTCAGTAAAGCCAGTAGCGTAGCAGATAGCAAAGTTAGCGTGTTGGTGGATTAATTATTGGCTATTAAGTGTTGACTTTAGGCGACGGTGTCACCTAGCTGATGAGACGCAAAGCTAGAAAGTAATAAACAATGTCCTTGTTTGCCCACGTTACTCCTGCTTATTGAAACTGTTAGCCACATTTTCCAGCTAGCAAACTATGCAGCTACTTTGACAGCTTGTCAGTTGCATGCAAGCTAATCTGTTAGCATCTCACCCCTTCTACATTGAGGGCCTAACCAATGCTAGTATTATGTATTTAAACTGTTACAGCTCGTTAGCCACGTTACACAGCTAGCAGACTATGTAGCTACTTTGACAGCTTGTCAGTTGCATGCAAGCTAATCAATTAGCATCTCACCCCTTCTACATTATATCATTAAAAAGGGTCAAACCAGTGCTAGTATTATCTATAAAACCTGTTACAGCTTATCAAAATCGTTAGCACATTACACAGCTAGCAAAACACGCAGCTACTTTCACAGCTCGTCAGATGAATAGAAGCTAATGTGTTAGCATCTAGCTCATTCCCCTCTCTACATTTTATTATTAATAGGAGTCCAATCAAAGCTAACGTTACGTAAATAAACTCTTATTTACACTCCGTTTAATGCAACAACCATCACATCACTTGTGCTTTGTGTAATTGTTAGCTACATTACCCAGTAGCTACTTTTTGCAGTTGAGTCGAAGCTAATGTGTTAGCATCAAAGCCCATTCTCCCTCTACATTACAGCAATAACAGGACTCTAACTAATGCTAACGTTAAGTGTGCAAACATTTGAGGCCTTGCAGTTTGTTATCTAAAGCAAACAATTCCTGTAACTGCATTTACAAAAGGAAGCTAAAAATGTAAAAATCTGGTTTTCCACCGAACACTGAACGTTTATAGCAGAGGCGCTAATTATGCCTCGACTGTTTCTGACTTTTTTGAATCTGACAAGGAACAAAAGCATTTCTGATTGACGTTAAATCCATCTAAATAATGGTTAGGGAGCGATCCGTAGCGTGAACTTTAGCTTAGCTAGCTTGAAGGAGCAGAGACGTAACACATGTTGCCATGAACTCATCTTGCTATACCTAAATATAAATTTATCGATTGCTAATGTTAAGCTATTTAAAGAATAAAACGTGCAATGCAAATTAGCTTGGTTCCAGTTAATGTGTATGTGTTTGCATATATGCTGGTGGATATATAGACATTAGTGTATTTTACTTCACAAAATCAGCCTCCAGCATCAGTTCCACTCTGGTTTTGTGTGTCATTTGTCCACATGTTCTTTACAAAGGAGGCTGAATAAAAACACTGGTCCACGCAGCATGCAGGCGTGATGACGGAGGTTAAACGGACTCTATCAGGTTCTATCACCAGTATTTCAGCTCGTCCCGTCCCTCAGCCGGCAGCAGCCGACCGCAGCGGCTCTCCCATATCCAGCGCTTGGATGTTGATAACTCTCTTATTGATGTTGTGAGTGTTTTACCCATATTTATGGAGCAGAGTGCTTTTTTGGCATGGACTCCTGGTGGTGTGCGAGCGCCTATCACTCCATCTCCCTCCTCCTCCTGGTGCATTTATATTTTC